GGCTGAATTATGAGTTCGCTGTCACGTTCGGGAGCGCCGTTGTAGCCAAAAAGCTTACCCGTGTTTCTGTTTCTAATAATCTGCTGGTAATCTTCGTCGCGCGATTATCGACTTTTCGCGCAAGACGCGACACTTATCGAAAGATGTCGTGGTCAGCAGTCACGGTTTATGTTGGTAGCTGTCGGTAAAAGTTTCAACATAGAATAAAATAAAACATCGCGGCGCCGTGGAAGTACATAATACCTACAGTCATGTTTCGTTGGACGGAACCTACAGAGCGATGGGTACCATCAGGCAGTTTCAAAAGCCCAAAGTAACGCAGTTTACCGTCATTTCGTGCCTGTCCTATCATGGCCTAAATCATCTAGGCGCAACAAACACGTTCCATTCTTAGTCCGTGATAATCTTACTTCTTTTCGTTTTCGACAGAGCTCCGATTTATGCTAAAACCAAGCACAGCAAGCTTCTTTGCCGCTTAAAGCCCGCGTCCCACTAGAACGACAGACAGAGACAAAAGACAGCGACAAGCCTCAAACCCATGCAGCATGCTTGTGATGGTACCTTTGGCAGGCGTTTAGTCGTTTGGTGCTCGCGAAGTAAGACCGAGCGATGGCAAGCCTGCCAAAGATACCCTCGCGTGCATGGTGCTCGTGTTTCAATATAGCATCCTTTATTCTACAAAGCCTCTCGAATCGCGAAACACTCTGGTTTGAGGCTTGTCTTTGTCGTTTGTTTCTGTATGTCGCTCTAGTGGGACACGGGTGTAAGCATGCGGCCACAAGTTCAAAATTGTTCTTTTCTACCACACTGTCGTGATTACTCTTACCTTAGTAAGAGTAACTGTAAGTACAGTGATATTCGTACGGTCACTTGATAGGCATGCAACATAAATGAAAACCCCATAATCATAAACAGAATAACTTCCGAAAGAAAACAAACGTTCACCCGAAACTTAATCAATATTCCTATTAGCGGCGAGATGTTTCGGTGGCGCCCTCGTTCGGTTACCTTTCGTGACGTCCTTATCTTGTGAACAACAAGTTCGATGGTGTTTGTAATGGCCATGGTGGAAGCGTGAAATCATAGCGCTGTCAAAGCGGCACTGCCAACACCGTCGAATTGAAGTTCTTACATTCCTCTTATTTCCGTCGATGAGACATCCTTTGCTGGCGTCGTAGTCAGCATTCGGCCAATTGTGGTGGGCCGACCACAGCGACGCTCTCGATCGCTCACGTCGCCAATTAGCGGCGAGATGTTTCGGTGGCGCCCTCCTATGGTTCCCCCTTGTGACGTCATTGCCTTGCGAACAACAAGTTCGATGGTGTTTGTAAATAGCATGGTGGAAGCCTGAAATCATTGCGCTCTCAAAGCAACACTGCCAACACCGTCGAAATTAAAGTTCTTTCATTCCTCTTATATCCGTCGATGGTATACCCTTTCCGACGTCATAGTCAGCTTTTGGGCCAATCGTGGAAGGCCGACCACAGCGACGCTTTCGGTCGCGCACGTCGCCAATAGCCGCTCTAAAACTTGGAGACGCCATTTTTTATTATTATTATTAAGAAAAAATATCTATACATTCTTTATTGCGCGTTATGTATGCCACGGTTGACGCCGTACCGGAGACATTGACGACACCGTCACCGCGACGCCGCCAAAGGGGTTCTCAAGACGCTTCTTGCGCAAAGTCTAGATACTTCCAAATTTCTGATCCGAGGCGTGCAGGCAGCGCAAGGTTCATGTTCTTCGACTCCTCGACGGCGACAGATCGAATGAGGTACGCGACCCGGGCCCGAGCCGACGGGGAACCGTTTGCATTTGCAGTGGTAACCTGGTCACGCAGTTGGCCCGGCACACATCGTGTTCGGTTGCGCGATAGCTCTCTCTCGTAAAACTGGAAAAAAAAAAGAAGAAAAAAAAAAGATATGCCAGTGCGTTTTATTTACAACGGTGACGAAACAGCCAGAAACTCGGAGGGGAGGTAAAATAAATCGCGTGCGAAGGAAACCGGAAGGAATGCACCGAAATGGGCGCACTTTATCTTCGAGAAGCAAAATTGAATAAAGATAGAAAGAAAAAAACGGGAGATAGAGAAAGAAGGGCAGAAGTGAGAAAAAAAAAATGTGAGCGCGCGTAAATTTTGAAAAGTGTCTGTTTCTCGATAAATCTTCGAATGAAACGACGTATTTTTGCTTTTTTTTTGTTAAAAAAAACCTTATGATTATTAAAAACAAAACAAACGTAGCGCACAATACGCACTTTCAACCGATGTACAGCCGATAAAATAAGAAAGAAATGTCCTCACCTGTGCTCCTAGCTTTACGTCATTGTTACTGTTCTTTTTGGAAAGAACCTGAACAGGTGAACTGCTACTAAAGCGCCCCAAATGTGCTTGTATGCCTCCAAAGGAAGACAAATGACCTGTTGCACAAGAGTGGCGAGTGTTCCCAGATTGTAGACACACTGGTTACTGTGAAGATGCTCTTAGGACTCACGTTTCTGTCTTCATTATAAAGGTGTATTTGCCAGCTCGCGGATTTCGAAGAAATTGTTACGATCGGTTGGCAGCGGGCTTATCAATGCCTTCAACTCGTAGTCTGCTTTTCTCTAACGAACGAAGATGATGGCTTGTCTCAGAACAAGACTAATAAAGGTACAAAATAAATTGCGTGCCTTTAAAGGGACACTAACAGCCCCTCCCCCCTTTTCCTTTTTTTGCCAGGCGATTTACAATGGTGCCGGAAAACTGCCCAATAAATATTTTGCTACAGCCTCACGTCAATTTTTAATAAAGTAACAAAAAAAAAAAAAAAAAGCCACTGCTCGAAACCGAAATCAAGAGGAAAAAGAAATGTGGAGGTGGAGAGAGTTGCCGGAAGTCATGTGACACCCAACCGCGTTTTTTTTTTTTTTCCTTCGTTTTTCCGGCCGTGCCAAGCAGACCAAAAACGCGCACGTTGCACGTTTCACAAAGAATGCAAAAGCCACGCACTTCGTGCTTGACGTTTGCACATTTTTTTTTAAGCTCTTACCAGTTCGTGTTCGTAAGACGAGCGATGTCTTCAGCCAGAAGGGGCGACGACTCGGCGACGTCTTCGTGAGAATCAGCTTGGTGGTCGGGCAAGTCGTACGAAATAAATCCTAATTGTCTTGATCGGTCCAAAATTTTTCTTTCGAAGGAAGACAGATTCGCTGGCACCGCGAAAAACAGCCATCATCACTTAGTTCGCTTTGTTCAGCCGTCCAGCCCGTGACTCCCGCCATACGACGCCATGTTCAGAATTACGCAGAGTGCACAAAATGCTTCCAATTCTCGGCGACTTTTTTTTTTTTTTTTTTTTTTTCTTTTGTTAGCGTATTTGCAGTTGTTTAGAAGCCACAAAAAATGGTTTATCGTATTTTTGTATATTTTATATCCTGAGTGTGTGCCTTCGATGACCCACGACTTTGATTATATTTCGTGAGTCTAAACCATAAAGAACGGCACGTGACCACGGAGAAGAGTGAGCGCGACTCAACCCGGTCAGTTTTCGATCGACGGTTTTTGGGCAGGAAGAAAACGAATTTTGAGCCGCAAATTGTTCTGGGTAGTTGGGCTCTTTTATGTCATGTACAAATAAAAACTTTGGCGAGCATAAATACCCTGGCAGTGTCCCTTTAAGATCGGTTCGGGCCGGTCCGATATGAGCCGGAGTTAGCGATGAAAACTGGGCCCGAACCGGACCCGAAGGACTGCCTCGTCCTGCGTCCCACGGATGCTACTTCCCCACAATATGAGTTTCCATGAGGGGAAGCCCGCTTGCAGAACTTCGGTTCAAACGAAGCATGCAAAAGCCAGGATTTTATTCTTTTTTGAAGGCATGACGTTTTGTTTTAATTTTTCGTGCAGAGCTTTATACTATAACCGGTCATTATTACGTGAAAAATAATGTACGTCCCCCCATTCCCGTGCGAACAATTGTACACGTCACGCATTAGTTTCAGAAGACCTTTAGATCAAGGGCTGTCAAAAATCAGTGAACGAGCTACTCACAAGTCCAACCCTTTCCGTTCCATGCAGTAGACGCTGTACAATCGATTGTCGAACTGCCTTTGAAATTCTCGATGTGACAGGACTAACGTACGATGACCACTAATTTCTTTCATGCTTGCCATACGCAATATCTCGCACCTTCAGCGATTGACCTCTTATATTTGAATGAAACGTTGCACTACTTTTCAATGACAAAGGCAAGAGAGTTGATAAATTCTACCAAAGTCCGCCGTGCTATGCTAGCCCCATGCTTCTAAGCTTAAGTATGTAGAAATATTCTATGTAGATCGCCATTACGCAGCGAAGGCAGAGTGACGGCATCTACTTTGTGCACTTCCCATGCGAAATGGGAAGTGCACAAGTTTACTTTTTTCATGTTTAACTAGGAAACCAAAACTCACGAACATTGGAGCGAACCCGGAGACATCACCCATCCACTGCGCACACGTTGGCGAGCTTCCAACGGGGCAAAAACTCCCCATCTGTCCCCCTCCGCTTGTTACAAGTCTCTTGTCATCAACTAATGGGAACGTCACCTTTTAAGAACTCTATAAAGCATGCCTCCGGATCAGTAGTTCAAAAAGCAGCCACAGCGAGCAGAGCGGGTGGCGCTTTAAACAACAGCAGGGTGATGAACACCGAGATGGAAGGGGCTCTAGCTCCTACCAGGTTGTGTCTGCGGAAGTTGCTTAACAAAGTCTCTAGATCTCGTTTCACTTTGAGTCAGTTTCGTAAAAGGCTACACACACTAAAACCTAAGGTCACGGCACGTTCACAGCGCCTCATTTGTTGAGCCAAAGACAACACACACACAACAGAAAGATGAACGTCGTGATGTTACAGTTTTGGCGCAACTTGAGTGGCTCTGTCGGCTCGCAACGTACGGTGAAACGGAATATAGGGACGCTGACTGCCCGCAGATTCCGAGCCGAGTCAGGCGCTAACCCCGTGTCATTCGACGTCGCAGGCTGCTTTTACAAGTCTGAGCGCTACGAGCACGGCGACGTGGTGTCCACGCCCGAGCCCTGCCTCAACTGCACCTGCCAGAAGGGAGTGCTCGTGTGCTACCTGCGCGTGTGCCCCACGACGGGGACGCCCGCCCCCGGATGCTTCACCGCCAGGGAGGCCGGGGAATGCTGCCCCAATGTCTTCTGCAGCGGTGAGGAGGAACTCCGCGCTGGTGCAGACGTCACGGGCGTTCAATTTCTCGGACGTTTGGGAAGGAACCCTTCAAAGGCAAACAGAGCACGTTTCGAGAATGCGACACAACGCTGCGCAAAACTTTCTTCCCCGAGTTTCCCCACACAGCAGACCTGCATTGCGGGAAAGTGCAGTCAATAAAATGTCTGTCGCTCTGACATACAAGCAACACCTAAACCGTTAGACTTAGGGGATCAGGCTGCCGTGACTGATTAGTCTGTCCGTATGATGGGATGCAGCGACTTTAGGTTGTACCCCGCACCCTGCTTTATGTTGGGCAACTTTTCTTTTTTATTTCTTACTTTGCATCGTTTTATTTAGAGCTTGGTAAAAACTCGGGTATGAAATGCGATTATGCCTTTCCAAGTGCAGTTTTTATTTCACGTGAACGATAGGATAATTACAATATAACAAGCTTGGTGCAATGTATCAGCCCATCATAACATATATGTGCTACACATGTTCAGCCTCTGGAATTAGAAGAACCTGAAATAGCTTGAAAAAATGAATAAATATATTTTTAAGTTTTTTTGGCAATTTTGCACTTTTCACTAATGACACATCTGGAATTTCCCAAGAAGTGCCCATATGTGAAGACCTGGCACTGCTCTTACTATTGACATAGGGTCAAATGCGAGAGGTTAAGAAAATAATGTGGGACATTCTGTACGGATAAGGCTAGGTAATCTTAAGCACGTTCACAATAGGCTTGAATGCCAGCTTAGCCAAGTTGAAGTTAGTTTGCTTCTAGACTTTGCCACTTTCATAAATCTTAAAATCAATTAACATTAGGTGCTAAAATGGGATCATGTTTTTAAAAACTGATACTACTGCAAACCATACAGAAGATCATCTTTAAAACATGCTTCATAGCCCGAGAGGCACCTCAAGTGCCAAGCTCGTTTCCAGAAATCTAGCGAAATATCCAAGATGACGACAAAGAAGAAGGGTTGAATTCCTACCTCTGTGCTTGCAGTCCAAAGCAATGTGCAAAAGCAGTCATAAGAATGACAACCATCATACATGCCTAAAAAGTCCACTTTAATACGAATGCAGACAATCTGGAAGAACACTTTGCACAATTTACTCAGTAGCTATGCAATAATCATATGGTTTCCACTACATTTCTCATGAACTCTACAGTATGCAAGCATACTTAGGTAAAAAATTCAAATCAGATGGTCATGAAGCCCATGCACATTTCAGTACAAAAATGCAAACTGCACAATGTAAAAAAAAAAAATTAAAGATGCATTCAACAAAACATACAATAAAGAAGAAATTAATCTGGCATGTCTTTTTGGAATATGCGATATTATTCATTATCATTCTGACTACATTAGCAACCAGATAGCCTCAGAAAATAAAGATGCCTCTGGATGAATGTATCCTGTTAAATACGTCACAACTTACACTGTCTTTGTTTCCATTATCACTTCTGTTTAGGAGAGAAAAAAACCACCACAACGCCACCACCTCCCTTGGATGACGATTACTATGACTATTCAGCCACCGTCGACTACGGCTACGATTCTGAACCAACCACTCCCAAAAGCAAGCCTCCAAAGCCGGCCTGGCAGGGACCAGGTTACGATGACAGCGAGCTCTCCGCAAGAACTCCGAGCATAATTTCGGAAACTGAAACAGTGACTCTGTCGCCTGAAACAACGACTTTCACATTCTCAACAAGCACAGCAACATCAAAACACCCAGGAACAAGCACGGTAAAGAGCCCCAGCAGAGAAGCAACCACCACAAAAACAGCCAGCCCCAGCACATCTACACAGACAGTGACAACAGTTACACACATGGAGACAACAGTTACAACAGAATCTCACCTAGCAACAACAACAGTCCAGGTGAATGGGACGACGGCAGTGAAAAACGATGTGACAACTCACCCCAGCCGCAGACCCGAGACCACGACGTTTGGCACGACGGGCAGCACCAGGCCAGCGCTAAGGCCAACCTCGGTCAGAGACGAAGCGACGACGAAAAAATCTGGCGACGACACGGAAGAAACAGAAACTGCGACCGTAGTGGATGCTACGACGGTGTTTTCTCCTACCGCAACGACAGAAATAACGTTAGATACCACCACCAGTCTCGAGGAACAAGCAACGCGGTACAACGGGAACCTGACGACGGGGGTGCCGACCAGGGCTCCTGAAGCGGCTGTCAGGGAGCCGGTGGCGGACGACGAGGCGGCAAACAGTGTCGAAGCGGGAGACCACACGGCCAGGGACAGCGTCATGCTGGTGTCTTCGACTCCTTTGCCCTACGAGGTTCACCATTCGTTTGACCTCCAGGACCTCAACACCATTTCCGGAGGTGGGAGCACTAGTCTTGCTACTCACGGCAGCCTGTCCGCCACAACTTAACCGGTATATTGTAATGGTGCAAATTCACTACAATCATAATCCACATATAAGAAAGACAAAGTAGAGTCAAAAAACAATATTATCGCTGGCTGAGACCCGAGCAGCGCTGCTGTGGTGCCTGCAACATGTCTCTGAATGGTGTGTTTACCGCGTCTGATATGCACATTTGCAAGTCCGGCTTCAGGGCACCACCATCTTGCTCGGAGGGGGTACATTTGGACATGTCATATTCCGATTACGAAGCCTCACTATGGCGTCGTAATCGGATTATGGCCGTGCCCAAGCGCATCCCGACTCAGCGAGATGGCGGCACCCTGAGACCGGGCCTGCAAATGTGTATAGTCATCCCTCGGTTTCCGCCCGATGAGATATCAAATGTGTCACGCTGTCAGTGTTACTGATTAGCCAAGTTACAGAACTTCCAATAGACGCTGCTTCCACGGGCAGTATCCCCCTCTGCCCCCAAGACTTGGCTCTTGTCATTCGACGTGCCATCATTTTGAGGACGGCTGCAAACCGTCCAAATGGCGTTTCGTTGCACTCTATGGAAAGCACACAGTTTCGAAACAAAAATCTAGATGCTGCCTCAAACGATGGGAGGTGGATGAAAGGAGTGAGGAGGGTACTCCCCCCCCGCAGGAGTTCCACATCTGACCTAATCTAGTAACATCGTATGCCGACGACCTTGGCGGTGTCACGCCCGTGCAGGCGGTGCGTGGATGATAATGGTAATGTGGATGATGGTGGTGGCGAACGTGCACTGCTACAATACGAGCATTTGTCATAAGGTAGAGATAACTGATAAGGTGTCCTCCCCTTCCCAATTATTTAAGTAGAGCAAGGAGCACCGAGAAAGTACAGAAAAACAAGTGTCACATTCTGTACTAGGAAGTATATTATGCATCCACAAAGTAAAAGTAAATTTTGGACATAAAAACAAAGTTACTTACCCAAATTGTCTCCTCATATGATTTTAAAAAAAGTGTTTAGAGGCTTGCAATTACAGTAGTTTACATTATGTAGTGCTGTATTATTTGCGATCACAATGCAAGGGCAGACCACATAAGTTCGCATTACCTTTTTGTGCTGTGAAGGCTAGCGATGACAGAGAGCTATTTGAATGTGACCTTTTTTAGAACGCAAACTGGAAAAACAGATATGGAAAAGGAAGAAAACAAATGCAGGGGACTAAAGCCTCACCTATTCTCAGGTGTCTTAGTTTTCATCCCAAAGCCAGTATGAAAATCAGTGCAACGTTAAAATGGACTTTTGTCAGTAAATTTTCTTCATGAATGTTTTACAAGTGAAAACCATCTTTTATGTTGCAAAACTTAATCCTACATGCCTTTACTGTCTCTGATTACAGGAATGTTTCAATCCCAGGACTAAGACATTGCAGGTTTCTATTTGATGCTTGCAGAATCATAACTGCCATGCAATGATCTGCTTTTCTCACTAATTTCATATGCACAGACTACAGTCGAACTTCTCTCTAGTAAGGCCAGTCTTAACAAACTAGATGTAAAGGGCAACTACAGTTAACTCCAAGAAATTTGAGTTAATGGTTGATTATATATCCCGAGGTAGTAAAAAAAAAACGGTTGTACATCATTTCTTTCAAAAAAAGGTGTAATATTTTTCACGCAATCTTCATATAAACCTTACCCCAAACCGAAACCGAAACCTTGCCTGCAGCGGGCAACATTGCTCCTAGTCGTCACCTACATCTCTAACCATGCAGTAATAATCGTGACGTCACGGAAGTGTCGCTTGTTATGATTGGCAGTCTGCTACACCCGACGACGTCCGTACTACTGCGGCCGCAACTTGTGTTTTAGCGTAGAAAACGGCAAGTTTATCCAAGGGCTTGTTTTTGAAAACATTAGAAGAAAGCGAAGTTCAGTAAACCACACATAAATAGGTTGCGACGGGTTTGTAGAATTATGTCATGCTCAACTTAGCAAACTGGCTTTGTCGCACGCGACAGACGCTGCAGGCGATGACACATGCTCGCACGGGAGCACAGAGGCGCATGTGCGTTCCACGAATCATGTGATCAATGATGAGTGCGCTGCTAGCGCTGCCTATAGGTTTTGCTTAACAAAAGTACAAAACAAGGAAACAAATCTGCTTGAGAGCCCCGAGCATGACGTAGGTAGTGCAGGGTGGGCTGCAGTGGCACGGCGGCATTGACTGCACTGTTGGCTTTGCGACGCCTTGCTCCCCAGGATTAGCAGATTTTAATAATTTCATGCACCTCAAACTTTGTTTGCCCGTTTTACACACTTTTAGATGGAATTAGATCGAAATATTTGGCGTGTGGTCTTTTTAGGCGACACTAAAGAGAACTGAATTGTTTTCTTAGCATGCAAAATGAACTGGAGTTGCCCTTTAAGCTATATCACTGTCCATTTAATGAATATCAGAGTTATCAAAAATTAGAGCATCTTTAAAATATACCTTTTTAACTAGGCCTTACTACAGAGAGATTCTACTGTACCATTTCCTTATTTTGCACAAACAGCCAAGCAGCACAATGATTAAAGCTAGTAACCCTATGCTACAGCTACCTCTGAATAGCGAGCATCACAAGCACCATAAAATAAGCGAAGCAGTGCACTCGCAATCAAATGCTGGAACAATTAAAAGGCTGCCTGAAACAATGCACCAGCCACACTTGTATGTACCATGGTATTCTTAGTGCCGAGATTCAACTGCCACCTCGTGGATGACACAATCTCGCAAGTTGAATGCTGAGGTCAGAAAAATTACGGCAAATATGGCAAAGAATTATTGGAGTATGTGCCAAGTCAGCTAGGCCTATTATTCTTTGAAAGCTCGTGAACTGCAGATGAGTGTGCCGTTTACCAGCAGGATGAGTGTGGGTGCTGATCACATGCATTGCCATTCTAAAACTTAATCGCTGCGCGTGCTCAGTGCTCGCACTCATATTGCTTATCACAAACAATATATGAACTCATCCATACACCAAATAATTGGTAATAGCAGACGTCACACCGCAATTTCAGCTCTTTAAACTCTTTTTGAATAGACAACAGCATGAACGTCAAGCACAACAAGGTGCGTGTTTTGACTTCTCAATCTCCAGTGACTGTCTCGAGCTTCATTCAACTCCAAGTTGCATGATAAAAGCTCGCGAGACTTGATCGTGAATGCAAATTTAAGGCAAACCAAGCACAACAAAGGCTCGCGAGACTATCACGAGTGCAAGCTTGAGGCAAAGCAACGCAAAACACGCGTCATTCTCTCATACCCGAGGGGAACTGCAACTGGAGTAAATGCCTCGCTGGTGGGCACTGCTGGCCCTTGTGACCGTCCCCTCATTTTCAGCTTGCCTCGACGAGGCGTCCTTGTATGCCGAGGGCTCGGCCATGCTTTCCTCCAACTTTTGCAATTACTGCTACTGCATCCGCGGCATTAAACGCTGTGTCCAGCCTAAGTGCCACCTCGCTGTGGCCGACTGCCAGCCGCAGTTCACCAGCCAGTACGACTGTTGCCCTTCCAGCTATGCCTGCAGTAAGTACCTCTCACCCCTCCCCCCCCACGCCTGCACAGCCGATCCAGCACTGCCGAGCTAGTGCACAAGCACTTAACAATTACTCGCATATGTGCTCTGTTACACCTAATCAAGACACTCATTTGCTCTACTTCCCCCCTAAAATATGGGGTACATACTATACCCCACTGCACCTTACGATGAACCGCAGCAGGTGCTACAAGCCATCCCAGCCAATTCAGCTCTGTGAACTTACGACGTGACTATGCTCGATGCGTGTCACTGCGCATCTCCCGAAGGTCACGTGACACGCATGCAGGAATGAATTTGCTTTGATGGCTTATAACGTCTTCTGCAGTCCATCGTAAGGTGAAACAGGGTGCAGTGAATCCAAAGATTTATTATAAAACTAAAATGCCTCCCCCCCCCCCCCCCCCCAAAAAAAAAAGAAGCTGGAACAGCATTATTCATATTAAAATGCCACCAAACAAAGAATTATTTCCCTATCAGATTATAATATATATCAATTAGTGACTTGAAGCAACCTCCAGGCTATAAAATAGTATGTTCCAAAAATTAGGCCCGACAATTAAGTGCAGAAAAACAAAAAAATGTTGTTTGTAAAAGTACCATGAAAGTGAACATTTGAGCATCCAGACGCAATAAGAGAGCAATAACTTCGAAGAGCACAGTAATCATGCTTTGCCTCTACTTTTAACATCGTCAAGTTTGACTATGTCTTGTCTTGGGAACAAACTCCTATTCCGGGTCAATCTGTTGCTGCTTTTACGATGTATGTCCTTCATTTTAGCGCAAGGACCAGCGAATGCGACAACACCGCTGCCATTAATTGGAAGCACTGCGACGAGTACTACTACCACACAGATGCCAGTCATCATTCCGATTCAGGGTAAGTGCCGAGAAAACATTGACACAGCTTTTATTACCGTATCAAGTTTCCAAGTCCATTAGCAGTTTAAATGAAAACTAATCTGAAAGGTACAATAATGACGAGATTGCACTGTGCAGATGTCTGTCCCATAGGTTTCTCTTTCAGTTAAGTTTATAACGAATGTAATAGTTGATCTCTAATCCATTAGCGCTATTACTCATTAAGGTTAAAGTAGGTCACCTCTTACACTCTTCCACAAAACCTGAATAAAACATGCGGAGTGTACGCAATGACGAGGCGTATCTGAAATAAATTGCGAGGAATTACCCTTTTATATGAGGGTAACACCTTGTCGCATCGGTTGCCAAAGTGGGCCAACGATGTCAGAGAGAGTCACGCTAGGAATCCGAGACCCAGCAAAAAACAAGCCATACCTAATCTGTACACTTCACAATACGTACACTCGAGGCGCCTGGAAACAGCACCGATCCTTCTAGAACCATGTCGTCACTTGCACGTGACATAAGAGCATTCCCAGCGCTGGGAATCAGTGGCCGCGTCCACTGCGTGGTTTGATACGGCATTTACCGTGGAACTGAGTGACCGTGACTCTAGCTAACATTGCATAGTACCCCATTTTCTAAGAGTAAACAATCGACTCGAAAGTGCCTAACAAGACTGTTTCCTGTGCCCTTCCTAGGCTGCTTGAAGAAGGGCCAGCTGTACAAGGTCGGCGAGGCTGTGCCAGGCACCACCGACTGCGAAGCCTGCTACTGCTCCCCCCGTGGGCCAACCTGCCACCGCATCGAGTGTCCGCCCGTGGCACTGGACTGCGACCCCGTCATCCCCAAGGGACACTGCTGCCCCACTGAATACATCTGCAGTGAGTCGCAAGTCAAATTTGGGGAATTTTACGTGCCAAACCAAGGAAGGGCAATGTCTATGCCAGTCCGGCCATCATCTATGCGAAGTGCTTCTCTTAGGTGCCGTACCGTGGTGCCACTGTCTTGTTGCACGCTTCCAATAGTTAAACTTTAATCAAATCTTTGCCGAATCTCACGCTAAAATTTACAAAAAGTTGAACCAGGCCGAGCTCAAATCTTGACAGGTTAGCAACACCTCTAGATCTGACATTGTGTGAGCTACCAGCGGCGTGCATCTCGGACACCAGATGAGATAGCAAGGCAGTGGTACAGTTGCCGACCGATTTTTCAGACTTCGCAGGGACCGGAAAAATGTTGGAATAATAGAGCAGCTCGAAAAATTTGCGGATTAAAAAGCTTGCCTTTATTACATCGAAGCGAGCTTAAAAAAGCTGTCAATAGTGCCTTGCTTCAGTTTATGCCGGTGCGCCTTGCTTCTGGTTACGCCTCCACTTGCATTTAGCCACTTGCTATTAGCTTGAGAATCGCTGCGTCATGGTGGAGCACTTTCTGTGCTTCTTAATGAGACTTCGCAGTGGCAGGAAAACAGATGGGGCCATGACGTCCAAGCCAGCGTAGCCCGAAAACATGATTCACCAAGACGAGATGAGAGACGCAAGTTCACGACTGCGGATTGGCAAATGAACCAAGCAAAATTGGTAACAATGATGACGATAATGACGCGAAGCTAGAGCAAAAAAACACTGTAGCATAGCGCCACCTAGCGGCAGGACTTAGCAGTACTCAAGTAGCGCTGCCAAACCAAACCAATCTATGTGCAACCAACATAAAATCTAAAATGGCGGCTCTCGGTGGTGTTTCCTGCTGATCGCTAGCGATGATTTTGTCCGAGAAATCAAACTTTCAGACTTCAAGTTGTCCGAAACATCGGTTGTGAATATGCAGTTTCAATCGGGTAGGTCGCGGTTCTCCCTTTAAGTCCAAAATACAGAACAAGTCCGAATTACAGTGGAACCCCCATATAAAACTTTTGCAGGACCGCGCGAAATTGTTGTATAATCCGAGAGTCCTATCATTCAGAAGAACAATAATTACGGATGGTGCTTAGCTTATTTATGCGACGAAAAATATCCTGTACTTTTTTTGAGGGTACACTCTGTACCATGAAAGGCCTTTTGTCCAATGTAAGTGAATGTGCTCCCAATCTAAGGTTGTAAAGATAGCAGGAACACCAGGCATTATTCTGTAAATAGAAAATTTTCTGTGAAAGTGATGGTTGAAGCCACACACTTGTGACTGGAAAGTGTGACTTCATGTGCTGCGGCCACCGGACCAAGTCTGAGAGAAGAAAAACAAAGTGTTTTGTACGAGTACAACATTTGTGTTATTATTGAAACTAATATCAGCCATCCTCATACGAGCCCAGCTAGCTTGTAAGGCTGCCCACCATCAGTGTGGCTTATGTTTTTACGCTTTATGCGCTGCGCCATTAACTTGAGGGCTTAAGGTGAAACAGTGCACTCGACCAAAAACTGCATGACTTGCTGATATGGATTGTGTTCCTACATTTTATGGCTTTAGATATTCTCATACTCTTGTTCAAGAGAGCCAACTCTTAGCAGTTTCCATTCCTCCCCAATTTCACGATACTACCTCCCATCATATTTGGTGTTTGTTTCTATATCTACTGCATCAGCACCAGACAGTACAATAGAATAAGTGACAGGCTACTTACAAATAGACATTCTCCAGTGCAAAACTGGGTTGCAAAGAACAAAATATTAAGGCACCTTACTTTACCCCTACATAATGACTATGGTTGAAAAAACCCCGAGACTGCGGGTAAACGACACAACACTAAAAAGTCTCTCTGATAGAGACTTTTTAGTGTTGTGTCGTTTACCCGCAGTCTCGGGGTTTTTTCAACCATGTGCAATGTACACCAGCTCGTTTGCGCCCTTACTTTTTGTTCATAATGACTACAACAGATTTTTTCTTCCCTTGCCCAGACAAAACCCAGCTATACAAAGACAGGGAGTATGACAAGCCTGCTGGTTTCAACAAAGACCTGTACCATCCTCAAGCCCTGCCCGATGACTACCAGGACAACCAGCCCCTGGCCCGAAAATCTGACGACAATTTCGACTACAACTCGGTACCCCAGCCAGCCTACAAACCGCCCACAACTCAGGAGACATTCACGCAACCCGAGTCAAGCGGCGCCATTGCAGCAGCTACATTGACAGAAAAGAACAGAACTGCAGATGCCTCAAAGGACCCTCAGGAAAGTGCAGCAAAGGACAGCAATGTTCTGGCTTCTTTGATATCGGGAACGATGGCAAGTGAAAGCAATACATCAGCACGTGTTGGCAACGAGACACGAGATGAAGCAACCACAACGACTGCAGAAAATACCTCGCTTCTCCCATCGACTGCCCTTCTCCCGAAGAAAGGCGAGAAATATGCGATGCAGATGCCGAGCTTTGCCACAACCCACGCACCCACACCGCACAAGAATCGCGTGATCTACATTCCCGAGCTGATCCACACGCCAGACGGCGGAAAATTGATGACAGAGCTGAAAATAGAAATGAAGCCGACGCCGGAGCCCTCGTCACCTTCCCATCCGTTCCACCAGGAAAAAATAGAGGACTTTTTTGCACGGGAACCGCTGCACGACACGGCCGTCCAGGGCAAACAAAACGTGCAACCCAAACCCCAAGAAGACTTGACCAAAGGACTGCCACCGGTGCCGTTGGAAGGTCTCCAGTTTTCGGAACTCATCGACAGGCTTTTCTTCACCGGCAGCGAAGACGACAAGAACGGCAAGGATGTCCCCGATGACGTATTGGAGCCTGCCTACGGACAAGCGCACCTTTACAATGCCTCGGCGCAAGGAACATCCGTCATAGAGGCACGGTATCCTCTAGACGAAAATGACAAGTTGCAGCCCGTGTACGGGAGTCCTCCAGTTTTCCACAAACCGACCGCAGACCTGCTGCCCGGCGAAGCGGAGTCTCTGAAGCCTCGTTACGGAAAGCCCCCGTCTTTTGAAGACGAGAGTCCCAAAGACTTGCTGTCGCGCGTGCACGTCCAGACAACGACTCCAGAGGTTCACTATGAGCCTGCAGCTTCATTAGATGTGGACACGTCGTCGCACAATGTCAATGCGAGCACGGAGCAGAAACTGAGTAACCATACCCTGCCAACGTCTGTGGGACAGCGTTTCGAACCGGCTGAAGTCTTTAGAAATGTGACGAGAATTGGCAGCAAAGGACCTCACCGCTTCCTACCGTCACTGAAGCCCGGTTTCATTCCCGACGACGAGCATGGACGAACGTCGAGCTCAGAGTCTCAAGACCTCCCTGACAAGACCAGAACAGGAACTAGCGAGTCACACCCAGCGATGACACCAAACAGGACAATGTTCGAGGATGAAATGTTCCTAGGAGATAACCCACACATTATTCATGATGAGAGCGCAGAAAATAAGTCAACTGCCACCACAACTGCCTCGGATCCCTCAACCTCAAGCAGATTCTACGAAGTCACACCAGGAATGCACGCTGAAAGGGACAGCTGGGAAACTGGTCTTTACAATTTTTCAACACCAACAGCACATTCCTTCGATTCAGTGACGACAGCTATCCGCGAACTGAATGAAGTCGTACCAAGCGTGACGGAAGGCGGGCCACAGTCAGACGAGGCTTCCACAACGACCAGCATGATCAACGTCAGGCTCGGAAACACGCTGAACGTCAGCGTGGATGGCAACCAGTCGATGTACAGAAACGTCGAGGAGGGCGGCATAATCGTCAGCATGTATCCGGAGCACAGAATGGACGGCAACATCTCGGAAATGCAGGAGCCGCCCCACGCGTTCTCCGACCCCTCCGACCAAGTTGCGAGCAGAGCGATTTCCTCCAGGAACCCTGTCAAAGACGTCCAGCGTGCAGAAGAGAAAGTGAAGGCTCTGGCACGACCGACCGAAGTGATCTCCGACGTTGCCAAGCCCCACAAAGCCGACGAGCCGGAAGTGATCACCGCCCCAAACATAGACTTCTCGCAAGCGGGGACAATGAATGTGCGCGTTTCGCCTGGAAACGCTTTCAAGGTTTTCTCTACGGTGGTGCTTGATGCTGCCAGCAAAATCCGACACGGCACCGCGACTACAGAGCCGCCAGTGGACACGGCACCGTGGGCGCCGCTCGGTTCGACGATCACGGACTCTGGAGAATCGGTTTCGCTCACGAGTAATCCTTCCGGTTTGTCAGACATCATCCAGCCTCAGGCGTCCTCCACGATACAGATGCACAATTATCCCAGCAGCATGGCTCCAGTGACGACGGACGGACCTACCAAGCCTGCAGTGGTCCATTCCAGCTTCCGCATTGTGCCCTTTCTGGCGGAAGACGCCATTTTCAAGCCTGCCACTCCGGCCCACGCGTTTCACAACGAAACAGCTGGTCGTCCAAAGATTACTGTCAACTCCAATCCGCGAGAACCTGTAAGAGGTATGTGCTGCTATTTCAACGCTGTGCGTAAATGCTCCGGCATTCGTGCATAGAACCACCAGTTGAAAATGGGGTGCATAAGATTTGAAAAAATTACTCTCTCACGCTGGACGAAATTATCACCTTTAGAGACAACTGCTAGGCAGTATATATGAAACATGTGGAGAAACAAATTAATGCATTTTCACATATAGTACCCTGCTTTAAAAAACATAAAAAGAAAAAATAATTCTTTTTTTTTTAACAGCCTGGATGGGAAAAGAATGGCATAAAATGAATTTATAATGCAAAATTTTGTTTTTGTACAGCCATATTTACGGCGCAAAACGAATTTGTAGTTGGCACCCGCAGGAGCTGCCACTAGTCACGTGGTCGACCTTTTGCGCCGCCGCAGCAGCAAGTTACGCCAGAGCAGTTTAGTGCCGCCACTGAAGTCTCCAGGACATTTGTGTTGCCGCCGCACGCCGAGCGTGGCGCGCCGCCGGCAGAACGCGTTTCTCCATGCTGCAGCCATCAATTTCTGACCGGTGCACCAGTCTATCGCGTGGTTCTTGCGCTGTTTCGAGAAATTCCTATGGGCTCTAAAAGTCACTTATTACTCTTTCTTTTTGTTGCACTTTAAATAGTTTAAAGGACACATGCAAAGGAAAAAAACATTTTTTTTTAAACAGCTTAGATGGAAAAAGCATGTCATAAAACAATTTTACAACGAAGAAAAAAAAATTTTAGAGCTATATTTACGTCGCTATACGAATTTATAGTTGGTGCCCGTGGGAGCCGCCGCTGATCACGTGGTAGGCCCGCGCGCTGCCGCGCTGCGTCGCCGCCGCCGCAAAGTCACGCTGCCGCCGCACGCTGAGCGTCAAGCGAACGCCGCTTCAACGCGTTTCTTCACGCCGCCCTCGCCGCCGCCGCCGCACAAGTTCGTCTGCTTCGGGGCGCCGCCGCCATCGTCTGACCGGCGCACAGGTCTATCACGTCTGCTTGCACTTTTTCAGGAGTTTCCTTCGGGCTCTAAAAGTTACCTGTTAATCTTAGTTTTTTGTTATACTTCAAACAAAGATGAATAAGTTACTTTTAGATGCCATACAAAGCTTCCAAAAGAGCGCAAGCACCACGTGATAAATAAGGGCCAGTTTACCGCGGCGCTGGCGGGCGCCAACTACAAATTCGTATAGCGCCGTAAATATAGCTCTAAAAATTTTTTTCCGTCGTTGTATCATTGCTTTATGACATCCTTTTTCCATCTAAGCTGTTTAGAAAAAAAAAATGTTTTTTCCTTTGCATGTGTCCTTTAATAAGCAACTTTTAGAGCCCATAGGAAGCTCCCAAAAGAGTGTAAGCACCATGAGCCCATAGCGACCACTCACATGACTGTAGTGGCCACTTTTCTGCGGCCTCTCGTGGTCGCCAACTACAAATTCGTTTTGTGCCGTAAAAATAAGTGAAAAAAAAAAAAAAGTTTTTCGTTGAAAATTTTTTTGACATCCTTCTTTCCACCCAGGCTGTTTAAAACAGTTGCCTTTTTCCTTGGCATATGTCGTTTAAGTAGAATCATACATACTAGCTTGATACACATGTGTGTGCTACACAGCAGGTACTATAGTGGTTCAAGATGGAACCTGGGAATGAGACAGCAAAATTTGATCGAATACGACCAATAAGCACCAGGCACCCGCAATCAATGACACGACACAAGAATAGATATCGCATACCGTGGACGCACAGATTAACGTTGCACGGTGCTATTCGCGACTCCAATTCACTAATATAGTGGCACTATACGTTTTTCGAGATGGTGGTTATAGTGAGGGTTAAAGGGACACTGACACCCCCCAAAATTTTTTTTTAATTTTTTGCCAGGCGCTTAATTATGGTGTCGGAGGACTACCCAATTAATATTTTGCAACAGAGTAGCGTATTTTTTTAATAAAGCCAAAAGACGCAACTGCTCGAAACCGAAACCGAAACCCGACGGAGGTCGGAGAAGTGGAGAGGAGAGAGTGACTGGCGGAAGTCACGTGGCTACACCCGACCGTGTTTTTTTTTTTTTTTTTTTTTTTTTTTTTTCCTCCTTCCCGTAGCAGACGACATCCGGCATACCGGAACTGTTCACCGAGCGATTCTTTTGCAGTTATGTATGTTCCGCTCGTTGTTCTGTACTCCAAGATGAGTTGTTTTGTACATTGAGGAGTTGGAGATGAGTAGTGAGTGCCCGTGGTGAATTTTGATCGGCTCCGAAAAGAATACACCCAAGATGTTGCGTGAAGAGCTGGCTCACATGCCCTGCGTCCGAAACAGAAGTGGCATTGTGCGACAGAGTTTCCGAAAGATCAAAGGGATCGGGACCAATGGCGGGCTGCAATTCCTGTAGACCATTTATGGGCACCTCGGAAAGCGGACGCTACCTGATTTATATGCTCCTTGCATTTTGTGGAAAGTGATTACATTGAGTTCGCAGGTGTCAAAAAGGAAATCCCGTACCATTTAATTCAGCGACGTGTCGTCCACAACATTTGTTTCTTATTTTTTGTTTCTTCAGTGATAATTGCTTAAAAAGAAAAAGAAATGTAGACATCTAAAAATATTTTAAAAAAAGAAAAAAGAAAAGGTTTCACGGGGGATCGAACCCGGTCCTACCGCGTGTGAAGCGGACGTCTTTCCCACTGAGCTACTGGGTCATACCGAAATTGAGGAATCTCTTCCCTTAGTAATAATTCAGCCGATAAACTGTAAGTTGGAAAGTTTGCTGCCGATTTTCCTCTAGCAAAAGCACTCCCGGGTCGAAGTCGGGATGCACCGCGCATTGGCGACATTCTCACGTAGTAAAGAAATCGTACGCGTGCACACTCAACTCGAAGTAGACACGTCGTGCTTGACGTTTGCGCGAGCGATGTCTTCAGCCACGAGAAGGGAGCGACGGCTCGGCGACGTCTTCGTGCAAATCGGCTTGGTGATCGGGCGTGTCGTACGGGATGAATACCAGTTCTTTTGATCAGTCCCAAATTTCTCTTTTAAAGGCAGACAAAATTCGCCGATACCGCGAACGACAGTTCTGAAATAGAGGTCCCACGCCCGTCGTCCGCTGCCATCGCCATCCCTGCGAGTCCCACGATACGCGAAACGACGCACGCACAGATTGCTTCCGGTTGTCTGTGGAACTTTTTTTTCAATCAACGTATTTGCAGCTTTTTAGAAGCCACAAAAAATCGGTTTCATATTTTTTTCTATTTTTAATATTGAGTGTGTGCCTTTAGTGACCCACGACTTTGATTAAATTTGGTGGTCGCATCGATACCTTAGAAAACGGCCCGTGACCGCGGAAAAGAGAGTGAGCGAGACTCGAACCGGCCAGTTCTTGATCGGCGGTTTTCGGGCGGAAAGAAACCGAATTTCGAGCCGTAAATTCTGTTCTGGGTAGTTGAGCTCTCATATGTCACGTACAACTAAAAACCTCGGCGAGCATAAATACCCTGTCAGTGTCCCTTTAAAGATGCATGCCAGATTACCATTTGCTGAGCCTGTTTAATAAGCTGGCTTCGCTGAGCGACACAAATTATTTTTGCTTATACCAGGAAGCTAAGGTGCTATGAGCGCAGGTCACCTCTTTATCCTGAAAACAAAAATGGTGATTAGCGTAATATTTACACCAGGAGGCACGTCTTAATTCTGGAACGAGACTGAAACTAACTTCTATTACAAATTTATTTTTCAATATAGATTTTTCTTCTTTCAGATTCTTTTATAACTCAAGAAGTGTCACAGCATAATTATTGAGCTAAAGAAGTTGTCCACGAAAACTTTGTTTTTTGACATACGTGTCAGATCCAGGCACTTCAATATATTTTGGAGAGTTCAGTGTCCCTTTAAAGAAAGGGTCCTTCATACCCCACAGAGGCAACATAAAATACTGTATTTGTTGAAAAAAATCAGTGCTGATATTTGTGTGTTCTTGCTGCCCTTTTCTTGCTAAGATAATTGTTGCATGAAATAATGAACTGCGGGCCTTTTATTCCCAGCCCGAGAATAACAGAATCAATTAAAATTTTACAAAATATTGCCACGGGTGATGAGTTTAGAATATGTTCACGAAAGGTATAAATTAAGAAATGCCGTTCTCGCAACAGAAACCCAAAGACGGAATCCGAGTCAAACAGTGCAAGTCTGTGTGTGTTTATTAACCCCTTAAGTGCCACTTTTTTTTTTTTTTAAAAGCAACCTAAGAATGCCATATATTTTTATTAAGGAGTTTTAGCCCTCTAGTATAACAAATAAAATTTAAAAACTTTATTACCCAAAAATCAGCAGCAGCGAAGAAAAAAAAAAAAGGCGGCAACTTAAACGAGTGCTGCCATCTATGATCAGCACCGCAAACTGCTCGGACAAGCTTAGCCAAAGCCGCCGGCGGCTTTGGCTTAGCTCGTCCGTGGTATTGAGGGCTACCGGAGAAACCACTGGACGAGCTGTGCTCATCCCTGGCATTTTTAACCAGAAAGCGGCCGACAAGCTCGTCCAAGGTACTTGAAGGGTTAAAGCAATGCGTGATGCATAGGACTTTATATTACATTCAGCGTTTGACTGTTTGTCTTTCTTGATAACAATGTCAGAATTTTTCATATGATAAAAAGAAAACAATATAAGACCTTCATAGAAAGACTATTATGGTTAAATGGCATACTTTTGTGATCGTGGCATTTATTGGAGGCCCACATTGCCACAATTTGTATTAATAATAATAATAATAATATTAATAATAATAATAATACAATTAAAGGGAAGATGAAACACTTCTTGAAAAAAAACTAGTTAGAGGTGAATTCTGGCGTATTTTTAACCCAGGAATCTGAATATCATGTTTGTTTTCCCCAAAGATGTAACTTAACACAAGAAAACGCGAAAAATTTCTGACCAGACATGACGTCATACTAGGATATTTGGACAGCCAAGCGCTTGTTGCTCGCGTGGGCAGCGTGTGCAATCGCAAGCTTGCCAGGTGTATACCCCTGCACTGACACCAGTCGCGACGTCTCTTTTTTACCTTCTTGAATATAGCAAGTGTGTGGGCGCATGGTATTGACAAGCGCTGAAGATGTGCGAGAGCGAAGATTCCGAAAACTCCTAATGTGACGTCACGCCCCGGGAAGGAGGGGCTTCAGTGGTACCTTCAAAATTAATTTCTGCAGCCTCCGTTCACCAAATTGAAAATAACCTCGATATTCGTGATCCTGGAGACCAAATGAAGATGATTTACCGTAAAATACCGGGCAAGCGCCCACTCAAACTTTGGAGATAATCGCAAAAAAATGGGGGATCGGCGCTTGTCCGGTCATCAGTTTGACATATAAATGTACTGTGCATATTTTCTCAGATCTCACAAATTTGGTAATGGGCGCTTAATGTGGAATGGGCGGATGTGCGGTATTCTACGGTAGGTGTTTTTCCTCAAATACAGAACCACTTGAGTTTCCCTTTAAGATATGTTAATACGTTGCTTTTCAAGCTCTAATATAATTTGTTGCTTATGATCTAATTTTAAACGTGCGAAGAAGTATGGCAATCAAAAGTGTGCAAATTATCATCACTGGTGCTAATTGCAGCATTCTTAATTAACAAAGTAGAAAAAAAATTTGTAAAAACATTTGAGCTATTCTGAAAAATCCATGTAAAATTACATTAATTGTGGGTGAAGCATATGATGCTATCAAAGTTGCTACTTTTGAAAATCGGCGAAACTTCCAGAGTTACCGCCAACCCCTTCCCCCCTCCTGACCTGACCTGACCTAACCTAACCTAACCTAATCTAACTTAACCTAAAGCAGAAACGGATTTCTTTTAATTACCAATCGTTTTAGAAAGTTTAGTGTCCTTAATTTTTATGCGCCGTTGTTCTGCCAATCTCAACCTTTTCATTTCGAAGGAACTTCTTCCCGCTTTCATGTCTGCTCACTGCAGCACGTTTTGTTGGCGTTGGAAACTGGTGAAACAGTAGTGAGATTTAGTATTGAGCATACGAGCAAAAGCAAGCACTCTGTGTTAGCATGTTCCACACTGCATGTGCGTGGAGCCCAAAATGGCAATCTTGGATTGGAGCATGGCGACGACATGCATGCACAGCCTGGAGCATGCAACTCTAACGCAAACGCACAGTGCTTGAGTTAGCTACTAGACGCACACTACATAGGGACAGTGGAAGAATGTTGTTTGCATTCGGAAATGACATTTCGTGAGCCATGATCGCGAGCAGTTCCGCCGTGCCTGCTAAGCAGGAGAACCAAGGGACGCTAGCGCTTCCGTTTCAACTGCAGGAGGGCAAGCAACAAGCTGGAGACACAAACAAACACATGGGAGCTCGTAAACTCCCGTGTCGTGGGAACTGATGGTAGAAATCGCGAATGCAGCCTATTCGCTTTCCACGGTGCAATAGACTCCCTACAAACTCCCGTGTCACGGGAAACAATACCGCAGATCGTAATTGCAGCACATTCACGTTTCATGGTGCAATAAATATGCAGGAACCCGCTAAAAACTCGCAATTCACAGTAGCAGATATCGCGTGGGTGGGCGATGTTTCGGGATTTTTAGCCAATGGATATTTGGCCAGAAATACGTAATGGGCAATCTCACGGTGAAGGGCAACCTTACAGGATCTTGCGGTATGTCCACAAAGACACAAGTAGGTTCAGAAATTGTCTCAAACAAGCTCAAGATTTGAAGGAGAGATGCAAGCTGGGACAAAGGGCAAAAGAACTCTGCACTTCAGGTTTCGAGGTGAAAGATGAAGCAATAGGACAAGTGTAACAAACTTGCAGGGGATTATGCTGAGAAGTAAATCTTTTCTCAGAGTCAGTTTCTCACTTCTAAATATAGAATCTTTCCATAAAAATACTGCAACGTGACACTTTTCCATTTTGCAACCCCGCAATGTTCCGGTCAAATGAGGACAAACTATCTCCAGCATAGCACTGCCCCTTGCAGCATTCATGAAATATTTCATCTCCCATTCTCCCAGTACTTGGCTAAAGGGTTGGTTAGTGAGAGATTTGTTGGAGGTTTTTTTAATACTCCCGCAAGACGACCAATCACCTCTTATATGTCGAATAGCACACATAAAGGTCTCCATAAATCTCCAAATCTATGATTTCTGTAGCACTTCATCATCCTAGAAAGTGTGACATAAACAACCTCAGAGGGCCTGCTGAAACGGAGCGACCAGGAGTTTCCTCGGAGGCAAAAGACTCTTTATGTTCGTAAATATAAAAAGGATTCTGTTGACAACTTCATACATCTTAAAATTATCTACTCCTATATGCGATCCATATCAAAAGCTGTTTTGCGCTGGATTTGTGTCACTGAAGTTGTACTTCGTGGATCTGTTTCTGCAGACAACTGTTTCGTGGCTGGCCGCATGTTTATCAATGGGGAGCTGATCAAGAAGGCAGACCCCTGCGAGCTGTGTCGCTGCTACTATGGTCGTGAGCTGTGCCAGCAGAAGAACTGCCCGCTGCCACCCTCACCTGCCTGCATCAGCGAGAGCGTCCCAGGTTTCTGCTGCCCCAAGTACACATGCCGTGAGTGTTGCTCCAGTCACGGTGCACACTCTCCGTGTCTCTGCTACAACGAAAGGCATCACACTTTGAAATGCAATCTCTCATCCACTACTATGCATGCGACAACATACCCGCTTTTCAACGAGTATAGCAACGTCCTTCTAGAATTGTTTAGTTAGCAACAATATTGTCTTGTAGCTGGCTGACAAGATTCAAACAATCCCATAAAAACTTCTGAAGCTAAATTATGAGACTCATGACAATTGTATTCTCACAGTGCGCTAGTGTTCTAAAGCCTTGCATGTCTGCATTGACACTATATAGAACTTTTATTAAAGTTAGAATCAAAACACTTGACGATGGGAATAAGGCATCACTACAAACACAATGATATTGTGTAATCCCAACCCTCATGTTTCGTTGAATCGTGGCAAAAATAGTACAGAGTTTGTTCCGTGATTATGGGGAGGATTCCGCGTTTTCGGGGCTTATGTTTCTTTGCATTCAGGGGTGTTCTTTCAGCTCTTATTTTCTCTCGCACCTTCCGTGTTTTCTGGGGCATATTTTTTTTTGGTGTTGGCAAAACATCTGCGTTTATAGGGGCTTACGTCAAAAGAAGCATGACGCGGCAAATGGAGTTCCCAGACTTCCAGGGAACGTACACGTGACTGAAATATACTTGGAAAACATCCCCAATACTCATAAGGGAAGAAAGCAAGACAATGGGTGTGTTCCCCCCAAGGTGACAGATAAGCAGGTCAGGAAACGACCACTGAAATCCGCCGCAGCAAAGTGACCGGATTGTGTCCATCTGGCGGCTTTCGCTCGGAAGGTACCTCCGCTGTACGATAGATGGTGCGGCGGCATACGGAATGCGATTGACTCAGATTTATGGAACTCTCCGAGAAAACGCACCGCGACAGCGATATTATTTGATTTCAAGCATCATTTACTAAATCCTGGCAAAATAAAGTTACCCACACGCCCATCTATCAATGTTTTTCTTAAATTTAATGAACTTTCCAAGATGCATGAGCGGCTGGCAATGTGAAGTCATCTGCAAAACGTCCGACATGCTTTTTGCTTTTTGTTTTGTTTGCTTTTGTCCCGAACGCGCTTGGAGCTGATGAATTTGACGGTAGCAGACAAAATTGGCATTTCTTGTCGTGCTTTGGCGCCTAGGGACGGCCAAGATTCTTGAAGTATGGACAGCTACTGTTGTGTTCCGAACTGTCGGTTGAGTTATGGCTTGAAGAAAGAAAAAGCGGTGATATTTAACGCGTGTTGAGTTTGGGTGACTTTGTCGCGCAGGGCAGTGTGACCACAGTGTAGTGCGACGGCATATTACCGACTTTAAACCCCGTCAAACTAAAACTTTCTTTGCTTGCACGTAAACAGCGGAAACATGTAAGCTACATCACTGAACACATATGCAGACGAAGTAGAATTGACGCCGTCGACGCATTCACTACACGCTTCAGCTCCTCCTCAGCAGACTCCTCAGCTCGCCTTCATTTTTCCGCATTGCGTGCCTTCTTGATTCTTTGGCTCGTAATGTAAAACTACACGCAAAACAGAACCTATATATTAAATATATTATTAATTAGCTCGAATAAACTTGCGTGGTTCATGCACAGTTGTTGAAATAAATGGCCAGTGGGTTGTGTTGCCATGCAAAATAAATAAAGATATTTTATTTTTCGTTTCTCCTTTCTGTGGTGCCACCTATGTAGAGCAATGTGAACCATCCTGAAGCGGGAACACAATCAGGTCACCCAGCTGGCTCTCGTCTTCCCACCTGCCTTTCTTACAGATTGGTTTCCCCCACTGTTTTCCCCTAAACCTCCCTCACGGACGGTTCAGTACACGCTACATTCCAAGTAAACAAAATTAAAGCTCTCGATAAAGATTTCTTTCCGTAAACCCTGGGATTTTTCTCATTTAAAGGGGCAGTGCAACAATTTTTGCACTCTGGCCAATTAACTGTGGAAATTAATCTGTGTCACCTATGAAACGAAGAACAGAAAACCATATTTTCTTACGAGCACTAGGTTTTACTTATAAAAATGAAACAAATCGAAGGTCAAAGTGCCTCTCAACTCTCCACGCCGCCTTTTGAGTGATATGCTCTGGGGGATCATGTGGTTTCCCCTTGGGTTCTCTCTTCAGAGACCTCAGCCGCTTCCTTTGCGATTCTCGACTTTTAAAAGATTAGCATTGTTGACAATTGCAGCGATCGATCGACACAAAAGACGGTTCGCCATAGGGCCGACGGCGAATGTAGCAGCGAAGAGGGACAGGTTTTTGTTGACTTTCGTGTATCCCCCAGAGGCCATCGCCGTAGTTCCCGTAACCACCACACGCAGCTGCAGATTGGCAAATAATTCATTTTTTTCTTTGCCATTACACAGCAGATTAGCAGTTTTTTGGGGCAAGGTGACGCATTTTTGGTCACTTGTGCCTCGATAAACAATACAAAAAATGCAAACTGCCAAATCTTTCAAAATGAAGATCGTGGGGGATTTAAAATCCTTAAAAATTTTCGGTTTTTCCTAAATAAAAAAAAAAAAAATTGACTACGGGCCGGGGGGGGGGGGGGATTCTTTCCCAAGGTTTATTGGTACAGGCCAAAAACACGAAAACCTACTTACAAGTTAGTTCAGAGAATTTAGATTACTTAACAAAGTTCAGGTCCAATTGGAAACAAAAGCAATTTGAGCCAGGTTATGTTACATAGGACTTGCGTCAGGTTTTGTTAAACACCACCTGGCAGCGTAAAGGGGCCCGCAATCATATTTAAGCGTCTATCTTTTTTGCATTTCACCGTTTCATTTATTTATAAAAGTAGTTTTTGTTCACTATTTTAGATCAAAAAAGTAACAAATGCAGTTTGTAAAGTACGGAAACAACAAATGACCCGTCGACATACCTGCCACCAAGCGATGGAAAACACGGCGCATACTAGAAAGGTGTGGTGGGATCAGGTGCCAACGAGCAGCGAGCGCAGAAAGGTCCCAGATGTACGCGGCGGTGCTGTGGTCGTACGGACTGGAGGATCCGATCGGCTTTGAGCGCTCCCAAGGCCTTCGGCGAGCAGCTTTGGTATGCGGTTTGGCCTTTTAGCGGTATGGCAGCGCGAAGTGGCTCCCGTTCCGAACTGATCTTTACCCCATGTTTGCTGTCGTTTGTGGCCAATGAAGTGTCATGCCGAATCAGTGTTTAATCGCGCAGCAAATGCAATGCGAGCCGCTTTGGCTGCCCACTTCATACAGCCTATCCAAAACATGCTCTAGTGGCGGCCTCTCGAGCCGCCGACACGGAGTGCGGCAGCCGTGAGCGCTCGCCTAGCTCACTACCCCTCGTCTAGTTCACGGCAACCCAAGTAACCAAGGACGTCATGAAGGAGGTTATTTTTTGCTTGTTTTTGTAATTGTGATTTGCCTATAACTTCTAAAATAAAGTGAAAATGGAGAAAAGAAAAGTTTCATTAGGTTACCACGTTCACTGCACTCAGGTTCGGTGCAAATTAAAAACCAGTAAAAAAGTCCTTGCAGGGCCCCTTTAAGGTGCGTGCAGCGGCAAGAGAATTTTACGCAAAGACCTGAAATAGGCGGAATACAAGACATCACCCATAACGGGAGCCCACTTTCTTTCAGGTCCCCAGGACGTCTACCTTCCTCCCCCCGATGTCGACACGGCCCCACCCGACCACGTCACCTCGAACGGTCCGACAACGCACCCCACGCAGTTCAGCCTGGTGGACGTCGATGCCAGTGCGGAGCACGCCAAGCAACCAACGCCGGGGAATTTCAGGCCCGTGCTCGGCACAACCACTCCGCCGGCGCCGTCCTTCTCCGTCAAGAACTCCCCGGTGCTCAAGCCCTTCTTCCTACAAAGGACTACGGTGCAAACCATGCAGGGCGGATTTGCGCCTACCGCTGCCACGGAGAGGGAGCCGATTGACGACCCTGCCACCACCACTGCGGAAACGACGCCATCGCCAACGACGACGTCCACGAGCGGGCCCCAGCAACTGTGGAACGTCTTCCAGGTTTCAGGTATACAGACCTTTTCTGATTACCCTCGTCCCCAGCCACATATTTTACACACCCGGTGTGGGGGATGAAAAAGATGCAAACCTTACTACCTGGAATAAGTAACAAAAATATAGAAGAGCCGAAGATGAATGACTGTTGCGATTGGAATGTGAACACTTCCCAGTGGCTTGGTCAGCTCAAAAACACTTATGTTTTCCTCCATACCGGAATTTCCACGATACAAGATGGCGACGTCCATGTAACTTGCTGCAACTTGAAACCGGCATTATGAATGCTCCAAGCGGATATGCCTCAGAGATCTAACATTTAGTTCTGTGCATGCAGTGCTTGGTGTCAGTTTTACTAGAGCATAGGTCCTCAAACTGGGTACCCAGGGGTTCCCCATGCTCCGAAATTTCCTTGGCTGTCCCTACCATTAGGTAAAATCTTCTTCCAATCAAAGCACTGTCTTAGAAGGTCCAACATATCCATTGATATAAAACAATGTGCTGAACGCTCACTAATATGTGCACTTTTGCTTACAAGGTCTTGTAGGCTTCTACGCTGTGTTACTGTATCACCGCTAATATCAAAATGGGTTTCCCAGCTATCAAGAGAGATAAGGGTTTCTCCAAGTCTATGAGAGCCCCTGTGCTTTTAATCTCAAGGAACTCCTTTAGCTGACAGCCAGGAGACCCTTCCTGTTCTTAGCATTAATAATAAAAAAAAGCACTGCAGAAGCCCTTTAAGCAACAACTTGACATACCAAGGAGCGATTGGCTCATTGTCACGTAATTTATGGGTCAGATCAGCTAAACTAGTGCTTAAACAGAAAAATGCACGTTACATACCGGCAGAGATGGTTGAGGAAATTCGGGAGCTTGGAGTGTCGTATAAATAAAAGTATGACCGTACTCCGTTGTGTCTCAGACAGCACTCGCTGACTCTTTATTTTCCTAGCCCTAACGATACAGTCGCAGCGCAGCAGCAGCGCTCGGAACCAGCACGCCACCGCTCCCACTCCCGGACGTTCGCTGAACCACTTAAACCCAATAATGAGTCAGTAACACTACATCTTCCCCCCTTTAAAGTTCTATGGCCCTAATGTACAACTGAACTAGTCAGCTCGACGTTCAGTCATCAAATCCCAGTCTTTTGGGAGGTCTCACGATTCGACCCGACCGCGTATGCTGCAGTCCGACGGGAGATCTCGCTGTGTTCTGGTTGGCACTGCACGTTTCACCAGAGGTCTCCCGGGGCGAGTCCTGCGGCTGCGGCAGGGGAATCACCTGGCTGCGGTTTCTTCTCAGGGTTCCAGAACTTGTTTCGACGTACAAGGATCTGGGCGTTTGAGCATGGCCCATAACCGTGCCCAACGTGCGAAGCTCTGGAAGCCAAACCGGATCGTCCTCTTTGAGGGGTGCCAGTGGTCTTGCTCTGTGGCGCCTGTCATAATTCCGCTTCTGCCTTTGTCTCTGTTTCTGATCCTTCCTTTTCCATGCTGACTGGTTGAAGGTTCGGGGCTTCAGTTGATCAGGATACATGGGAAGTCTGCTGCGGAGCCTTCTTCCCATGAGTAGTTGGGCGGGACTGAGCCCTGTAGGGCCTGGCGTGTTGCGGTAGTTAAGCAGCGCCAGATAAGCATCTGCACTCTTCTTCACAAAGCTCTTGATTGTCTTCACCATTCGTTCAATTTCCCCATTGGCTTGGGCGTACCTCGGACTTGTTGTGATATGTTGAAACCCGTAATGCTGGGCGAAGTTCTTGAACTCTGTCGCGGAAAATTGCGGACCATTGTCCGTAACTAGGACCTCCGGTATCCCATGTCGGGCGAATATACTCTTCATTCGCTCTATAACAGCCTTTGCTGAAGTGGAGGACTGAAGAATGGCGACTTCAGGATACCTGGAACGGTAATCAACCAGCAGGAGATAGTTCACACCATCGAGCTGGAACAGGTCAGCGGCGACTTTCTGCCAGGGCAATTCTGGCGTTTGAGACGACAACATCGGTTTTCGAGCTTGATTCTTGTACATCGCACATTCTGCACACTTGTCTACGATGTCTACTATGGCCCTGCTGATTCCCGGCCACCAAACGGTCTCCCTTGCCTGTGCTCGACATCGTACAATCCCTTGATGTCCCTCATGGATCCGCGTTAGCATCTCTGCTCGAAGACACTTGGGAATGATAAGCCGGGGTCCTTTCAACAGTAGGCCTTGGCACACCGTTATGTCGCCTTGCTCTCCAAAGAACGGCTTCAGGTTCCATGAAAGTTTGCTTTTCGATGGCCAGCCGTCCTCACAGTACTTGAACAAACTTGCACAGTCTTGGTCCTCCCTCTGGAGCTTCCGGATCCTCTGAAGAAGGTCTTCCGACGCCGGCAGTGTGCTGATTGCCCCCAAAACAAATGACGAAACCTCGGCAGGGTTCAACATGCCCTCAGATGACGCATCTTCGCAGGGCGCTCTCGAGAGCGTGTCAGCTGTTGCCATGTTCTTTCCTGGGATGTATTCGATCTTGTACAAATATCGCATCAGGCGCATTCGAAACCGTTGCACCCGTGGGGGCAGCATATCCAGGTTATGCTGGCCCAGCAGTGGGACCAGGGGCTTATGGTCTGTCTGAAAAACGAACTCCAGTCCTCGGAGATACTCTTCAAATCTCTCAGCCGCCCATGTCAGTGCGAGGGCTTCTTTTTCGATCTGCGCATAGCGCTGTTCTGTTGGAGTAAGAGAACGAGAAGCGAACGCAACTGCACGGAGTTCACCATCTCATTGTTCTTGAAGGAGCACCGCTCCCAGGCCATGGGATGAGGAGTCGGCTGAGACGATGGTACGAGCAGAACTGTCATACTTTGCAAGGCATCTCTCTGACGTGATCATTTGCTTGACTTTGTCAAGGGCTCGTTGTTGCTCCAATCCCCAAGTCCACTCATTGTTCTTCTGAAGTAGTTCACGAAGTGGTGCTGTCACTTGCGACAGGGTGGGCAAAAAGCGCGCAACATGGTTCACCATACCCAACATTCGTCGGAGTCCAGATACATCTGTAGGGGCAGGTAGAAGCTGGATTGCCTTGACCTTCTTTGGATCTGCACGGATGCCATCCTTGTCGAGGATCACTCCCAAAAACGACACCTCAGTGACGCCAAACTGACACTTGCCGGGGTTGAGCGTCACACCGGACTGGGCGAGTTGCTGCAGGGCTGCTCTCAGTCGGTTGTCGTGTTCTTCTCGCGTGGCTCCGTAAACCAAAACATCGTCCATTAAATTCTGGATACCTTGAAGTCCGTCCAGAATCTCTGTCATCTTTCTCTGAAAAACTTCAGGTGCCGAGGTTATACCAAAGGGCAGTCTCTTGTAGCAATATCTCCCAAATGGTGTTATAAACGTGGTCAGCTCTTGTGACTCGGGGGACAAGACAATCTGGTGAAATCCAGAGTTTGCGTCTAGTTTGGAGAAAAACTTTGCTTCGCCGATGTTCGCCAGAACTTCCTCCACGGTGGGCATGATGTGTCGCTCTCGACGCACAGAGACATTCAGTTTTGTAAGGTCGACGCAGATTCTGATATCGCCCGATGGCTTCTGAACGGGTACGATAGGAGCGCACCAGTCGGTCGGGCCGTGAACTTTTCTGATGATTCCAGTGGCTTCGAGTCTCTGTAGCTCCTTTTCGACTCCTGGTCTCATCGGAAATGGAATCCGTCTTGGCGTGCTGACTGCAAATGGTTCCGCGTCAGGTTTGAGCTGAATTCTGTGTTCCCCTTGGATCGTTCCAAGCCCTTGGAACACTTCCGGACACATACTTTCGTACTTGGACCTGTTGTGGGAAACGTCGTTGAGAAAGCGAACCATCCCGAGGGACTCGATTGCTGGCATTCCCAGCAGTGGCATTTGGAGATCTCGAACGACGTAGATAGTCTCTTCTGAAACCTTACCCTGCCACTCGACCACAGCCTTAAACTTCCCCAGTACGCCCAGGCTTTTCTTGTTCGGTCCCTTCAAATCCTCGGCTTGCAGAAGTCTTGGCGGCTTGCCAGCGAAGTCTTCTCCAACGACGGTGACGTCAGCGCCTGAGTCAATCTTTGCTCGGAGCGGGTGTCCGTTCACAGTCACCACAGCCAAACGCGCGTTCGGTCCGCTTCGGCATACGCTTCCGAGGAATGAACCGCTCTCAGACGCATGCACTTCTGCAACGTGCGTCTTACTCAGGTTTGATAGCGCTCTTCGGCATTTCCTGGCGAAGTGTCCAACTTTCTTGCATTTCATACACGCTTTGTTTCTTGCCGGGCAGTCTCGTTTCTGGTGGGGACCGTACCCACAATTCTCGCATGCTTGCGTCGGCGGCCCGGCCTCGATCTTCGGTGCGCGTACATCTCTCTTGCGCGGCGGCTTGGAAGCGGAGTCTGCATTCAAGGCCGTGTCCTCGCAGCGTCGCGAAGGCTCAGTTTTCGCCAGGTCCTTTTGCTGCTTTCTCACGGTCTCTCTGAGTCGGGCTTTTGCCAAAGCTGTGTCCAGCGTTAACTCGGCACCCATTTGAAGCGTTTCTGACAGCTTCGCGTCTCGGAGGCCCACAATAAACCGGTCGCGGATGAGTCTTTCTTTCAACTCGCCGAACTCGCACCGTGCCGCCAAAGTGTGCAATTCGGTAACAAACTGGTCCACTGTCTCCTCCGCTTCCTGTACACGTCGGTTGAAACAGGCGCTTTCGTAGACGACGTTCTTTGAATGCACAAAATGGGCGTTGTACTTCCCCTTTACAAGCTCATAGTTCTTGAACTCAGCGTCGGTGAGGTTAAAGGTCTTCAAAATTTCTCTTGCTTTTCGTCCCATGCAATATAGTAGGGATCTGACCTGTGCCTCCTGGGTTCTTTCGCTGAGTCCGGATGCAAACATGTAGTCTTCGAACTCGTCCAGCCACGCCGGCCACTCGGCCACGTTGTCGAAGTTGAAGGGGGGCGGTTGTTGGACGCTGATCATGATTTTCGGTTGCGTGGAAGCGGAAGGCTTTTGACCGCTGGAGTCTGACTGGTCCTCGTCAGACATGCTTTCCGGCAACGGCGGTGGGAGTTGTCACTTCTGACACCATGTCGTATAAATAAAAGTATGACCGTACTCCGTTGTGTCTCAGACAGCACTCGCTGACTCTTTATTTTCCTAGCCCTAACGATACAGTCGCAGCGCAGCAGCAGCGCTCGGAACCAGCACGCCACCGCTCCCACTCCCGGACGTTCTCTGAACCACTTAAACCCAATAATGATTCAGTAACACTACATGGAGAACTCATGAGGATACACTGGGGAACCGCCGAGTTCCCAAGAACCCAGTTTGGGAACCCATGTGCATGGATAATGGTGAGGTGTGAAGTAAGTCAACAGTTCCAGAGAAAAAAAAACTGCTATTTTACTGACCTGGAAACACGCTCAGAAGCTCGAGCTCATGATTGGGGTGAACGACAACTGCAAAATGCAATTACAATTTTAATATACTACAAACATAACTTCAGAGGTGGCAGAACTTAAAAATTAGAGATGTGCAAATATATTCAAAACTTCTAATAATTTGAAAATAAGTATTGCTATTCAAATAGATATACCATACGGAACAATTTCACCGTTTAAATCATTCGAGTTTTTCGAATATTAGAAAATTATGAATGTCCTAAGAATTCTCTAATTTCTCAAGTCCACCTTCACCGCTTTGTGTTGGCATAACCGTAGAAACGGCTGACGAGGCAGAGCATGCGGACTGGCTCGAAGGGCTCCGATATTTCGCTCCATTCACATTAAATGTAAAACATTCACGTATGAAGACATTTGAATCCAATTCGCAGTATATTTTTAATATTAATATTCTATTTGCAGCCACAAATTTGTTATTCATGCCTATACAGAAAATAAGTGTTAGCTGTTACCTCGTTAAAATGATTATTGCATCTCATGCACTGTCAGGTCAAGAGGTCTGACCATACAATATGTATGTCAAAAGAGAGTTAGTTCTTTAAATGTTTCAGGGACCAGTTAAATGTATTATACAAAGTGAAACCATTGATGACTACACATAATTTTTTGCTTGGCAACTTTCACATCTTCCGAAACAAGATAGGTGATGCATCAATTTTGTCAGGAGGTTCTTGGAAAGTCCAGATATGAGCAGTGCTCCAGTAAATTATTACCGATATTCAATGTATAAGCCACACTAGAGACATGGTTGACAAACAAAATTTACCATAAACAGAATGCTCACCATCACACTCATCAAAATAGCTGCTGAAGAGAGCTTTTATATAATGCCACTGCTGCTCACATTGGAGTTTATATCTCTAATATAAAATGCTTTTGGACAGACTAATACAGGGCATCACAAAAGAAAATTTACACATTTTTTTTTTACCGCAAAAATAAACTAGGCATTGCTGAACGCTCATCCTCTGCCCAAAGGTAGCGCTAGAGGTCACAACCAGATGCCAAAGTTTCAGCCCGATCCAATACCTTATTCAAATGTTATGCATGATTTTCTGAAAATTTCAATGTGAAAATGGCCGCCGACGGAGTTTTCGAATACATGGGGCTCTATGGCACCAGAAACCGAAAACGGGCAAAAATGGGCTCCATTTTCCCATTGAAATTTTCAGAAAATAACTTTTGATTAAGTCATCGGATCGGGCTGAAACTTTGGCATCTGGTTGTAACCTCTAGAGCTACCTTCGGACGGAAAATGTGCATTCAGGGATGCCTAGTTTATTTTTGCGGTAAAAACAATCCTGTAAATTTTCTTTTGTGACACCCTGTATATTACAACATCTGCAATGCCATCCAGCCTGCAGCTTCAGTAAACTGAAAAAGGCATAGCAAATGTCGAACCTCACGGCCACGCTTTTATCCAGGCTTCCCTTTTGGGCTTTACGAAATGTCTAACACCTAGCCAAAGAATGTTTCACAATACTAACGGAAGGATTGCTGCACGATTCCGCCCCAAAAGCTAACAAACTGACAGAGACAGAACTGACCAAGGTTACTCTCCGACGCGTTTCCAGGCTGCAACATTTACGGACGGCTGTACGGAGTCAACGAGGTGGTGCGAGAACTGAGCAGCAAGTGCAAGGCGTGCACTTGCACGTCCCTTGGAGTGCAATGCAACGACACATGCTGACGACCCGCAGAGCACCAGAAACAACCCTGACATTCTTTCATCAATAAGACGTCCAGCGATTCTCGTCTCGTTGGGCCTCCATCGAACTGTCAAGTGCCGAGATGCGAAAGCGGCCTTCTCGAGATGAGGACAAGCAAAGCAGGACCTGGCATTGCTCGTGCCCAGAGAAAGTGCAACTGGCTTTTCACTTTGTACAGTGTGTTGTATGACAGGTTTGTAGCACGGGCAAAGTTTGCAGCGTGGATTCAGTTGGATGAATAAGATCTGGGCGAACTGCACGAGCTCATTTTTGCATATGTCGTGCCAAGATTTGCAATGCACTGAGGTACTACATATATAGCTAGACTGCATAGTTTTGGGCTAAAAAATAATGGCAAGTAACATTAATACCTGGGTCAAAAAGTAAAGAAGAAATAAACAACTTTCTTGTTTTCTTTGCAGTTTGTTTTAATAGCAGCAATGGCAGTGCGAGTCCCGCAGCCTAAAAAATGAGCTGAATATACGATGAAAATGGCTTTATAGCAGCAGGCTACCATCCCCTTCAAAAACCAGCAATGATGCCCCATGCTGGCATTGGTCGTTATCGTTAAACAACAAGCGACTGTTTGCTGCTGATGGATGAAATGGTTTGATTTAAATTTTTACCATGCATAACCTTGAATTAGCTGTCTTCTAGAAACTATGCCAACTAGCTATGCCTCAGTTGCAAATAATGATACGATACCTCGAGGAATGGACTTCTGCAGTCTGCAGCCAGATTGATTCACGCTGCAGTGAAGTTAAATTGAACAATTCAGGTAAACAATATATTTAAAAATATTATAGTATTTTCTGCACCAAGATTTAAGTATATTGGTTGTGCTGGAATCACGATAAGACTACAGTATTGCATTGTAAGAAGTGAAACAACTTGATTTGTTTGGAAGACACCTGAAACATAAATCAGATGAGTACATACAGCTCACTAATATTCAAAAATGTAAAAAATGTTTTTTAAATTAAGGAATTTTTAATATCCAAGACCTGCATGTGATAATAATTGCAAAAGCCTAATAACTCTCAACTCCTCTGAGAAAAAAAAAGAAACAAGAACAAAAAAAGAAACGGAGTTCAACGAGTGCCATGAGAAATGCGCAAAGTTTTGATCTTGACCATCGGCACAATTTCACATTCCATCCTCAAAATCAGCAATATTTCCCAGGGCATTCTTGAGTTCAATGTTTGCAGAAAGTTCCACAAATACAGCCTTAACAAACAACTACTATTACAAACCAAATATAACTCCACTTTACAAAGGAAGAGTTATACTCCCCTCCACTGACTGAAACGAAGGGTGTAACATTTTTAAGAAGGAACCCTGAAAGTTTGTGATTCATTTCTTTTTTTTTTTTGTGCGTAGCAGTGCGGTCGCCGACCTTTCAATAAGTGGTTTTCCTGTTATTTTTATGACCGGTGAATGCATGCGGGGTCCGTCTACACACTCTTATTGTACATATACGAGACTTATTTATGTGCCGACAGGGACAGTGTTGTGAGACAATCGCAGTTACCACGCCTCGATCAAAGATTGCTTTTCTAGAACTTTGCGAACCCGTAGCACTGTCAAGAGCGGAGGAACAGCCCACATAAGCAAACCCTGTGTTGTCGTCAGTTTTTCATTTAGTATTTATGTCTTTCACACGACTGAAGAGGCAAAGAAGTGTTTGTAAATACGTAGATAGCTTCGCTCATGTCCCATTCCGTTTCTAGGATTTTCAGGGCTGCATTTACGCAGTGTGTTTACAACTGGCCCAAATCCTCTTTTATACCGGATTGCTACCTTTGAGCCAGGAAACAAGCACACAAGTTAGCCACCATTGCAACGAAACCTGTCGCAAAAGACAGCTTAGTAGAACATTGTAGAAATTCAGTAACGATTTGGGCTTCTTGTAGTCACGCTGCTTTGAAACTATTCACAGGCCTCCGGTGGATTAAAAAAAAAAAGACGTAAAAAATGGCTTGAGAGAGGGGTGGTGAATGTGTACATGTATTTCCCAATTCAATCTAGGTAATAAAGTTTATCTTTGAAACAAACGTCTCGACTTTCATGCGAAGCGTGAACCCTGTTGTGTTGTCGCTGCTAAAGCCATGACATAATTGACGCTTCAGAGAAATGACACTTCGGCCAACTTATTGCTTAAAATCATTGTTGCTGGTTAGCTAAAGCTTCATCTGAAATCGGAGAAAATGCTTCTCTGTCCACGTTAAAACAGTCGACAACAGAGCAAAACGATATCGCCAGAGCTTGCCAACACCACACCTAAAGCTCAGGATGTAGTCAGATTTTTCAGTCGTAACTGCTGCCGATTGCGCCTTCTCTGCACTAGGCAACGAAATGACGGTGCCACAAAACAATTGGAGAATGGAGAGCCGATACCTTAAGCGTAGCTGATTTGGTGGCTCTAGTCTGAGAATTCTATGACAATTTCAATATAGTTTGCCCTTAACAAAACACAACAAGCACAGGAAGTGGCAATAGGAGGAGGAACATACAAACAGTGCTCTCTTTGTGCGCCACTTTAGGCGTTCCCATTTCGTGAATTGAGGCACACTTGGCAAGTGTGCCTCAGTGCCTCCAGTGTGCCTCAGTGCTGGCTATTTTATTTTAGAAGACATCTCGATTGCGTTGGCACAAAACTTCAGGCAAATGACTGACCGCCAAAATACCATCATTGCAACTTTTTTTCGCCTAGATCAGTGTTCTCAAGACTCTCAACAGTTCTATTGCAAAAACAAATATACAGTAAAACCTCGTTAATTCGGATCTCATGGGACTGGCAAAAATGTTTGAATTATCCGAAAGTCGAATGGACAAAGAAAACTGTGCGAAAACGTTTCTCTGTGACATACCTTTAATTTGAGAAGAAATTTGTTATTGCCACCTCCTTTCTGTTCGACATTTGGGCGGAGACGACAACTTTCCTTAGCGCGGTCAGGTACTCCACCGAACTTCAGAGCTACGCATCCCGTGCGCTCACGATTTACCACAGCAAGGCCTCTTCTAGTTTCGGGTGCACCACCTACTACAGCCCCTTTCTTTTCGCGCTGAACTTCTCGCTCTTGAAAGCCTGCAAGATCTCGGCTTCAATTTTCACATACATGGCCAAAGTGCTTCTCTTGACATCGTAACTCTCCATCACTTGTTGTCGAGAGACGCCGACCTTCAAGGCCCTCAGTATTTCCACTTTCGTCGCTAAATTCTTGGCCTAGTACAGCTGCAACGAGAAACAAGTAGCACAACTGACCGATGATCAGAGCAGCAAAATAGCGACACCCAGCGCTATTTTTCCCGAGCGCGCCGATAGCAAGAGTACTAGTCATGTTGCATGTTTCAACACGGGGGTAGATAGCTGTTAAAATGCGGGCTTTAGGATGGGCTACTTTCTGCCGGCCACCCCGCGTTGAGGCATGAAACATGACTTTCACTCTCGCTATCGGCGCACTCGGGAACAATAGCACCGCATGTCGCGATTTTGCCGCTCCGGTCGTCGGTCACTTGTGCGACTCTTTTTTTGTTGCAGCTGTGCTTCTGAGAATAGCAGGAGAGTAGCACGCCGATCCAGAACAAAACTGGAAACGAAACACGGAGAACCGGAAGAGCGAAGAACCATGGGAAAACCGGAAAAATCACGTGTGCACCTCGGATGGATGGCGGTAATACCCTTTGGAATAAACGGTAGCTAGCGCCACCCGTCGAATTCGTCCGAATTATGCATAGCGCGCCGCATTCCCTCCGAATTAATGAGCGTTTTTTGCCATTGACTAATACACATGTATGACGGGACCGGATCGGCAGTTCAAATTATCAGAATTTCCAAAATAGTGGGGGTTGAATTAACGAGGTTTTACTGTACCAACCTAAAGCAAAAAAAAAAAGAACAAATGATTGAAATGTAGGTTGTTTGCATGTCTAAAGAAAGCACTGAAACCAGAAGACTGGTCAGAAGCAAAAACACTGTATTTCAAGTGCCTGTAAGAAGACAGCGAAAGGTCAGATTCACCCTGACGCTGAGTGCGGACTTCCGGGGCGGGAGCGAGTGATACCAGTACTGGTTAGTCGGCGAGTTCATGAGCAGCAGGCTCCCGTGCTCAAGACTAATCTTGACGGGGTCCACGTGACGGACCTTGCGCCGGGCGTCGCCATGCTTCAGCACAAAGTCCCGCGCCTGCCCAAACGACAGAGATGCTATTGGCGCACTCTGGTCGAGGTCCTTTTCATTGTCTCTGTGTTCCCCGATGTGGTCCGAACCATCGTTGTACCTGCAAGGCAGTGACAAAAAAGTTGAATTGGTCATTTATTTATGGACTGTTTCATTAATTCAGAGCCGTCTAGTGGCTGGAATATAGGTCTAACTTTCATCTAGCTAATAGAGGTAAAAGTAAAAGTGCAACATCGTATTTTCCGGTGTATAAGTCACGATTTGTATCCAAATTTCCGTCTGCACATCTTGACCCATTCGCTTCCAAAGGCGGCCGCCGCAGCAAGGGCCAGAGGGCACAAAGCCGGCAATTTGCTGGTCTACCATAACTTTCTTTTTTTTTAAAATATACTATGGATGGTGATGTTATTACACCACTTGTGTTTTGGTTAGTACTTTTGACATCAGATGGTAGTTCAAGTTCAATATTTTTATCAACGAGGTAGAGGGCCTTAGTGCAATAAACTGGCAGCTGAAAGTGACCCCCAATTCGCCGCTGCCATGCTGCACATTTTTTAACACTAGACATGTGACCTTATAGTTTTACCTCTAGATTTTAACGAAGTACCGCGCACAAAATATTGCTTATTGATCTTTAATAACAGTACCAAAGAGATAAGTTATGCTTTGCTTGTTTTAAGGCCAAAATGTGCTTTTACGACAAAACCTTGGGCAGCTTCGCATAGCCTCTGCTAGCTGCCGCCAGCTGCGGTGCTGTATTTTTTTTTTCTTTAGCTATACATTTATTTTTGGGGCGAACAGTATCGAAAAAATAGTTTATCATGTTTTTTACAGCAATCGCAACACAAATCGCGGCTCAGTTTTGCGTAAAAGACTCAGGATTAGGTACGGTCACGTGTCTAGTGGTCAAAATTGTACAACATGGCGGCAGCCAAGTGGGGGTCACGTTCGCCTGGTGAACAGGATACCAGTTTATCACTCTAAGCCGCTCCACCTTGGTGATTTTTATGCACATTTCGAAGTGAAAAATAAAGTTTGCAGTTTTTTTTATTTATTTATTACCTACAGCACCCAAAGAGCATTACCGTAGGGCAAGGGTGGATTTAGAGGGGGGGTCTGGATGTCCTGACCCCCCTCTTGATTTCTGCATGTGTAAAATTTAGGGCATGAAACGAGGGAGAGGGGGTTCCTAAACACATGGTACGCTGACCAACACCTGACCCCCCCCCCTCAGGAAATTCCTGCATCTGCCCTTGCAGTAGGGGGGCACACATATAAATAATATAATAATGTTCAGATATATACTAACACTCACAGATAACAATATTCAAGAAAAAACAAAACAAACCCAGCAATAAAATTACACAAAGTTTTTACACAGAAGCAGTAAATAAGCTGTGGCAAAAGGCACACTATATAACCCGCTGGAGTTGTTCAGCAGGAACATGGCATCCCGAAAGAGTTGAAGATTCTCCGGTGGTGAAATCATTGACCTTGTACAGGACAGCGACAAAAATGATAGCTCTGACAACATAGTTATCATCATGAACATCAGTAGCAGTGAGTACGACAGCAAGAGGAAGGCGAGATGTCCGAAATTGCAACCGAATCCTCGGTGCCGCCTGTACCGCCAGTTTGGATTGCTCCACAACAGTTAGCTTCTTTTCCAGTGCATGACAAACGATACAAGAAGATCTGTGTGGTGCATATAACTGTTTACAACAGCGATACACACTGCGGGAAACCAATCGGCAAGATGGCAAGCCAGTTGCAAGGGCTAAAAATTCAAAATCGTCGAGTAGACCATCGAAAGGGCGGCCCTTCCTGGACATAGACTAGGTTCAATTACTGCCGTGGGTGCACTGTTGCTGGTTCGAGAGGCTCGTGAATGGTTTCATTTTCTTCAGAAAATTCTGACAACACCATGAAGCAGAATTCGTTGGGGCAATGCAACATCAGCAAAGTTCGAGGTAGAAGGAGCAAGCGCCGTTGGAGCATATGCTCCAATGGCGCTTTTGTATGCTTCTGCTGTTTAAAAAGTTTCATATCCGCAAAGCTCTTTAAGTGCATTGCGCGCGCTTACCATTCAGGAACAATTTAAAATAAGGCTTATCCTTTCCTAACGTACCCTTCAAAAGTTATTGTGCCTTTTCTTTCGTTCCACGGGTGATATCAGTCCGATAAAAATGGGGTGCGGAATACAGCGCTGTCGAGGACGACGACACGGCAGATGCAAAGAGGTTAAACAACAGCGTGACTTCTATAGACCTTTTCATTTTAGTAGTTGCCTCACCGGCGGACAGAGGGCGCTGACGCACTCGGCGCCATTAGGTTGCTTCAATTTGGTCGGTTTCGGTTTCAACGTGAGCGCGGCTATGTTGCTGTTTTACGCTGTTTTTGCTCAGTTTTGCGATATGATTATTTTCCTGGTAGCACACAACCAATGAAACAGTAGTATTGAGCCACTTTAATGACTACGAGGTGTATTTTAGCTTAAATTGTGGGCTCTTCTTACCAACTCCATTGATGTATCTGATTATGGTCGGTTGCGAAACGCCTGACTGATGTGCAGGGAAGATTACCATCGTGTATAACCGTACCCGATGACACCAGTTTCCAGAAAAACAAACTAATAAAGAAATTAACATGTGAATGTAGAGGGGGGAAGCATATCGACAGCTTGATTAGCAATATTCTGAATCGGCCAGAACAGATGAACTCGCGAGTTTACAACTCACTGTTTGGTTTCCGTGGGCACCCAGCCTTTAGTGAACTTCGCAGAATAAAAACGTATCGTGTAATGACGCAGATAATTGATATAAACAAATAATATCGTCTCGGTCTCTTTTTTTTTTAATTTAGTACTCAAGCATGTTTTGACAGGCTGATTAGGAAATTTCTTAAATTATCAATACTGCTAAAGTACTCATCAGCAGAATTTCGCGATATTAGCCCTAGGGAATACATTTTTTTTATATGAACATTTGCTTACTTAGGGTATGATATAAGTGACAGGCCCTTCAAATTAAATCTGGCATTCGTCTTCCGAAAAATTGGCCAATTAAAATTAAAGGGCGCAGGAGGAGAAATACCTAGGAAAGTTTGGCTGAATTCTAGCGCTAGGCACCACTTCACGGACCTGTATGAACAAATATTTATTTCTTAGCACAAATTTGCTTTATAAATTTCGGTGTAGCCAGCCGCAAAAAGTAAACCTCTATTCGCCATGGACAATCCTGGACTCAAATACTGTTATTAAGACGGCTCTTTTTTTTTTGTTTTGCTTTTTTTTGTTGTTGTTGTTTTTTTTTGTTTTTTTTGGGGGGGGGGACTTCAATTATTGCGGATTTTAGATGCTGGCAAAAGATAAAACAACGTAAGCAAAAACAAAAAAAGCGTCGTCATTATTGCGCATGCGCCGAACCCAAACCGCGTTTTGAATTTGTAAATAGATACGACGATTGGGCTAGTTAATCATTCATATTAGCGGAAAACAAACAGCGCAAGGACAAGGACTACTCGCTACTGTTAAGTGTATGTGACAGTTTCTTACGCGGGAGGTCCCAACCTTTCTGTTAAGTAAATTAAGCATAGTATACAATTTCTTAAAATTCATAAGTAAACCGACCAACCGAGTGTCTACGTCGCAAAAAGGAGATTGAGAACCTCATACACATGTAGGTGTGATATTTTGAACAAAAAAATCGCTTGATGTTAACGTACCTTTACTTTTAGCCTCAGGTAAAATACAAGTTAAAATTTCGTTGTCTATCTCTTCCGCGAGTTTCCTCACATAATCAAAAGAAACTGTTTTCGATATATTATGAATACAAAGAACGATACTTTCACGGAATACAGATAGTCTCCTTGTGCTGACTATTCTTGACCCCTTGCAATCCTAAATGCGCGATATAAATATACGCGCTTCTTACTGAGAATGTTTCGCCACTATTAGTAAACAAACCTCAGGAGTCTTCGAGTAGACGTATCGGACTACAGTTTCCGAAGTAAGGCAAGCAAGCGCGGTGAAACGCGACGAAAAACACGGATACACCGCATCCGCCAAGGCGCGGAGGGGAGAGCGGAGCAGCAAGTTGCAGCAACCTAATGGCTGCCGCGTCACGTGATTCCAAGATGGCAGCGCCCATGCGGAGGAGGATGGAAAGGTCTATACCTTATAGTAAGGTCAGTGTGGTCCTTAACTGTGAAAGATGTAGGCAGAAAGATGGATGAAGAAACATGAATAGGTAAATCATTAATATAAATAAGGAATAAAAGAGTATCTAGTACGGAACCTTGGGAAACGCCTGAACTTACTGGTGAATGGACTGAGTTACAGCCGTTAACCCTTTAAGGACGTATGTCGCGAATTCGCGACATACCACTTAGTTCACTGTATAAAATCTTTCCGTCATCTATGAGCCCCGCGCCGACTGTCGCGAAATCGCGACGTACCTACCAAAGCGCCACGGTATGCTTGCGCCATCTGTCGGCCGCCCGGTGTACTTTGCGCCGTAAACAACTTTTGCCGGTGGACAAGATTTCAGAGCACGTGGTTTTCGAATTACCAGCTGTCCTTCTAGCGTAATCGAGAAATGAGTTGTCGTTTTAGAATTGTTTCTAGCTTAAATTTGGTCCCAACTAACTGCACAAAGCACACATCCTTTTAATACTGAGGTCTTTCAGAAAATAAGATGTTCTGTTCGCTTTGTCGCGAATTCGCGACACTCGGCATTCAGTGATTTGCAAGTCGCAGTTTGGCTAATCTAAAACAAAAAATATTTCTGGCTTACGACTTAGTTTCAATGAGAGATACTTTATATATTGTAAGTCATGGAAGCTCGCTCCCTCTATGGGAAGAAAATTCCGTGTAGGACGCGTTTACCACCCGAAGACGGAAGCGACGACAGCTGCCTAAGTGACACTGACAATGAGGATGCGGACTACAACCCTCCCCAACAGTTCAACGCACCCCCCGATAATGACACAAGCGAAGAAAGTGAAGAAGAAGAAGAAGAATCGGTGCCAGCTTCCTCGAAAGGAGTGAATCGGCTAGTGCACTGGTCAAAAACATCTTCATCTCTGAGTAATGACGTTCCT